ACCGAACCTAACCAACCCTACCTAACCTAACCTAACCTATATTTATAGGTAAGGTTAGGTTAGGTAGCCAAAAAAAGCTAGGTTAGGTTAGGTTAGGTAGGTTAGGTAGACGAAAAAACATTAATTCATGAAAACTTGGCTTATTAGGCAAATCGGGCCTTGAATAGTAGGCTGAGAAGTGCGTTCTGGCTATTAGGTACGACATATATATATATATATATATATGTCGTACCTAGTAGCCAGAACTCACTTTTTGGCCTACTATGCAAGGCCCGATTTGCCTAATAAGCCAAGTTTTCATGAATTAATTGTTTTTCGACTACCTAACCTACCTAACCTAACCTAACCTAACCTAACTTTTTCGGCTACCTAACCAAACCTAACCTATAAAGATAGGTTAGGTTAGGTTAGGTAGGGTTGGTTAGGTTCGGCCATATATCTACGTTAATTTTAACTCCAATAAAAAAAAATTGACCTCATACATAATGAAATGGGTAGCTTTATCATTTCATAAGAAAAAAATTTGAAAAAATATATTAATTCAGAAAAACTTGGCTTATTAGGCAAATCGGGCCTTGCATAGTAGGCCAAAAAGTGAGTTCTGGCTACTAGGTACGACATATATATATATATATGTCGTACCTAGTAGCCAGAACTCACTTCTCAGCCTACTATGCAAGGCCCGATTTGCCTAATAAGCCAAGTTTTCATGAATTAATGTTTTTTTCGTCTACCTAACCTACCTAACCTAACCTAACCTAGCTTTTTTTGGCTACCTAACCTAACCTTACCTATATATATAGGTTAGGTTAGGTTAGGTAGGGTTGGTTAGGTTCGGTCATATATCTACGTTAATTTTAACTCCAATAAAAAAAATTGACCTCATACATAGTGAAAAGGGTAGCTTTATCATTTCAGAAGAAAAAAAATATAGTAAATATATTAATTCAGGAAAACTTGGCTTATTAGGCAAATCGGGCCTTGAATAGTAGGCTGAGAAGTGAGTTCTGGCTACTAGGTACGACATATATATATATATATATATATATATATATATATATATATATATATATATATATATATATATATATATATATATATATATATGCGAACAAGCCTGAATGGTCCCCAGGACAATATGCAACTGAAAACTCACACCCCAGAAGTGACTCGAACCCATACTCCCAGAAGCAACGCAACTGGTATGTACAAGACGCCTTAATCCACTTGACCATCACGACCGGACAAAATGAGGTGATAGCCGAGGCTATTTGAACCACCCCACCGCCGGCACTCGGATAGTAATCTTGGGCATAGCATTTTACCAAATCACCTCATTCTTTGGGGCACACGTGAGGAACACAAATGCGAACAAGCCTGAATGGTCCCCAGGACAATATGCAACTGAAAACTCACACCCCAGAGTCACTTGTCCGGTGGTGATGGTCAAGTGGATTAAGGCGTCTTGTACATACCAGTTGCGTTGCTTCTGGGAGTATGGGTTCGAGTCACTTCTGGGGTGTGAGTTTTCAGTTGCATATTGTCCTGGGGACCATTCAGGCTTGTTCGCATTTGTGTTCCTCACGTGTGCCCCAAAGAATGAGGTGATTTGGTAAAATGCTATGCCCAAGATTACTATCCGAGTGCCGGCGGTGGGGTAGTTCAAATAGCCTCGGCTATCACCTCATTTTGTCCGGTCGTGATGGTCAAGTGGATTAAGGCGTCTTGTACATACCAGTTGCGTTGCTTCTGGGAGTATGGGTTCGAGTCACTTCTGGGGTGTGAGTTTTCAGTTGCATATTGTCCTGGGGACCATTCAGGCTTGTTCGCATTTGTGTTCCTCACGTGTGCCCCAAAGAATGAGGTGATTTGGTAAAATGCTATGCCCAAGATTACTATCCGAGTGCCGGCGGTGGGGTGGTTCAAATAGCCTCGGCTATCACCTCATTTTGTCCGGTCGTGATGGTCAAGTGGATTAAGGCGTCTTGTACATACCAGTTGCGTTGCTTCTGGGAGTATGGGTTCGAGTCACTTCTGGGGTGTGAGTTTTCAGTTGCATATTGTCCTGGGGACCATTCAGGCTTGTTCGCATTTGTGTTCCTCACGTGTGCCCCAAAGAATGAGGTGATTTGGTAAAATGCTATGCCCAAGATTACTATCCGAGTGCCGGCGGTGGGGTGGTTCAAATAGCCTCGGCTATCACCTCATTTTGTCCGGTCGTGATGGTCAAGTGGATTAAGGCGTCTTGTACATACCAGTTGCGTTGCTTCTGGGAGTATGGGTTCGAGTCACTTCTGGGGTGTGAGTTTTCAGTTGCATATTGCCCTGGGGACCATTCAGGCTTGTTCGCATATATATATATATATATATATATATATATATATATATATATATATATATATATATATATATATATATATATATATATATATATATATATATATATATATATAACACCTACATACTCAGTTTTCCAATTATGGGGGAAGGATATCTGGTCAGTATATCATCTGGGAATTATATACTGTGGGGCGGGGTTTTCATCTAGAGAATCGAGGCTCTTGGGCCACCAGTTGTGGGAGCGGGGCGTCACATCTTGGAGCAATCTTTCTAACATTGGGTCCTCTAACATTTGGATGGTGTTCCACACCCTGATGGCTTGGTGCTGCAGTCTGATGTTTAGTGGCTGTATGTTCAGGAGTTCATGGAGCTCCTGGATTGTCTGATCATATGGTGGACGGTGTTTTGCTGCTCTCCTTAGCGCCTTATTTTGTACTGCTTGCAGTTTCTGCATGTTAGTTTTCTTTATGGTGTGTAGTGGTACTGGGGGATACTCTAGATGCGGCCGAACTAGAGCCTTATATAGGAGGATCTGAATGTTAGTACTGAGGCTTCGGAATCTTCTCAGTTTTCCTAATGCTGCTTTGGCTTTGTTTAGTCGGTCCCTTACATAAATTTGTATCCCTGTTCTATTTATCATAAGTCCCAGTATTCTGCCTACCTCCGCATATTGGATCGGCTGGTTGTCAAGGATGATGGGGTCCGGGTTTCTTTTCGCAATGTGTATTATCTGAAACTTTTGTTTGTTGCTGCTAATTTTCCATTGCTTCTCAAAGTTGTTTATGAGTTCAATTGCTGCCTTGGTCTTGTCGGCTAGTACCGGCTTTGATGGCCAACTCCGCCCCTTCCTCCCGCCACTCCCGTCCTCCCTCCAGCCTCTTCGTCCCCCCCCCTTATCCCGACTCTCCGCCCCCCCTCCTGCCTCTCCCCCCCCCCCGTAGGTCCATCAGCCATTCTACTCCTAATTCAACCTTTAATTACAAATTAACTGACAGCCTCCCTCCTCTGCCCCCTCTCCAACGTGTTTAAAATTCTTGGTCGATACGTGAGTCTCTCATTGATGGTGGAGACCTGATTGTGAGGCCCTGATTGGCACGGAGGCTGAATGGTCCCCACCGCCAGGATGGGCTGGAGGACGGGGATGATGGGGAGGGAAGGAGGGAGGCAGGTGATGGGGAGGAGGGAGGTCATGGAGAGGGAGGGGTGATGGGGTGGGGAAGGGTGAGGATGTAAAGACATGATCCTGTCTTCAGAGATCACCATTGGTCAGTCGTGTTATTTATTGTGTCCACGTGATCTTGTGGTAGTGGAGGGCTGTTGTGGCGCCTCACTCCGGCTGGGAACACTTCTGGTGTAGTCTGGTAGTTAGACCAGACCTTAACGAGGCGCCCCACCCCATCACCACCCTAACTATCCTGTCATGCCGCCTCCCTCCGCCAAGGTGGCTGACCCTCCACTGTGACTGACCCTCCACTCTGGCTGACCCTCCACTCTGGCTGACCCTAAACTGTGGCTGACCCTCCACTGTGGCTGACCCTCCACTCTGGCTGACCCTCCACTCTGGCTGACCCTCCACTGTGGCTGACCCTCCACTCTGGCTGACCCTCCACTCTGGCTGACCCTCCACTGTGGCTGACCCTCCACTGTGGCTGACCCTCCACTCTGGCTGACCCTCCACTCTGGCTGACCCTCCACTCTGGCTGACCCTCCACTCTGGCTGACCCTCCACTGTGACTGACCCTCCACTGTGGCTGACCCTCCACTCTGGCTGACCCTCCACTGTGGCTGACCCTCCACTGTGGCTGACCCTCCACTGTGGCTGACCCTCCACTGTGGCTGACCCTCCACTCTGGCTGACCCTCCACTCTGGCTGACCCTCCACTCTGGCTGACCCTCCCTCTGGCTGACCCTCCACTGGCTGACCCTCCACTCTGGCTGACCCTCCACTCTGGCTGACCCTCCACTCTGGCTGACCCTCCACTCTGGCTGACCCTCCACTCTGGCTGACCCTCCACTCTGGCTGACCCTCCACTCTGGCTGACCCTCCACTCTGGCTGACCCTCCACTCTGGCTGACCCTCTGGCTGACCCCTCCACTGGCTGACCCTCCACTCTGGCTGACCCTCCACTCTGGCTGACCCTCCACTCTGGCTGACCCTCCACTCTGGCTGACCCTCCACTGTGGCTGACCCTCCACTCTGGCTGACCCTCCACTCTGGCTGACCCTCCACTCTGGCTGACCCTCCACTCTGGCTGACCCTCCACTCTGGCTGACCCTCCACTCTGGCTGACCCTCCACTCTGGCTGACCCTCCACTCTGGCTGACCCTCCACTCTGGCTGACCCTCCACTCTGGCTGACCCTCCACTCTGGCTGACCCTCCACTCTGGCTGACCCTCCACTCTGGCTGACCCTCCACTGTGGCTGACCCTCCACTCTGGCTGACCCTCCACTCTGGCTGACCCTCCACTCTGGCTGACCCTCCACTGTGGCTGACCCTCCACTGTGGCTGACCCTCCACTGTGGCTGACCCTCCACTGTGGCTGACCCTCCACTCTGGCTGACCCTCCACTGTGGCTGACCCTCCACTCTGGCTGACCCTCCACTGTGGCTGACCCTCCACTCTGGCTGACTCTTCCAGTGTGGCTGACCCTCCACTGACCTCCCATGTTCCACCGTTGACCCCCCGTGTTCCACCGCTGACCCCCAGTGTTCCACCGCTGACCCCCGTGTTCCACCGCTGACCCCCCGTGTTCCACCGCTGACCCCCCGTGTTCCACCGCTGACCCCCCGTGTTCCACCGCTGACCCCGTGTTCCACCGCTGACCCCCCGTGTTCCACCGCTGACCCCCCGTGTTCCACCGCTGACCCCCCGTGTTCCACCGCTGACCCCCGTGTTCCACCGCTGACCCCCCGTGTTCCACCGCTGACCCCCAGTGTTCCACCGCTGACCCCCAGTGTTCCACCGCTGACCCCCTGTGTTACACCGCTGACCCCCCGTGTTCCACCGCTGACCTCCAATGTTCCACCGCTGACCCCCCGTGTTCCACCGCTGACCCCCCGTGTTCCACCACTGACCTCCAGTGTTCCACCGCTGACCCCCCATGTTCCACCACTGACCTCCAGTGTTCCACCACTGACCTCCAGTGTTCCACTGCTGACCCCCCATGTTCCACCACTGACCCCCAGTGTTCCACCGCTGACCCCCAGTGTTCCACCACTGACCCCCAGTGTTCCACCACTGACCCCCAGTGTTCCACCACTGACCTCCAGTGTTCCACCACTGACCCCCCAGTGTTCCACCACTGACCCCCCGTGTTCCACCACTGACCTCCCATGTTCCACCACTGACCTCCAGTGTTCCACCACTGACCCCCAGTGTTCCACCACTGACCTCCAGTGTTCCACCACTGACCTCCAGTGTTCCACCACTGACCTCCAGTGTTCCACCACTGACCTCCAGTGTTCCACCACTGACCTCCAGTGTTCCACCACTGACCTCCCATGTTCCACCACTGACCTCCCATGTTCCACCACTGACCTCCAGTGTTCCACCACTGACCCCCAGTGTTCCACCACTGACCTCCCATGTTCCACCACTGACCCCCAGTGTTCCACCACTGACCTCCAGTGTTCCACCGCTGACCCCCATGTTCCACCACTGACCTCCAGTGTTCCACCACTGACCTCCAGTGTTCCACCACTGACCTCCCATGTTCCACCACTGACCTCCCATGTTCCACCACTGACCTCCAGTGTTCCACCACTGACCCCCAGTGTTCCACCACTGACCTCCAGTGTTCCACCACTGACCTCCAGTGTTCCACCACTGACCTCCAGTGTTCCACCGCTGACCCCCCATGTTCCACCACTGACCTCCAGTGTTCCACCACTGACCCCCCGTGTTCCACCACTGACCCCCAGTGTTCCACCACTGACCCCCAGTGTTCCACCACTGACCCCCAGTGTTCCACCACTGACCCCCCCAGTGTTCCACCACTGACCCCCCAGTGTTCCACCACTGACCCCCCCAGTGTTCCACCACTGACCCCCCCAGTGTTCCACCACTGACCCCCAGTGTTCCACCACTGACCCCCCCAGTGTTCCACCACTGACCCCCCCAGTGTTCCACCACTGACCCCCCCAGTGTTCCACCACTGACCCCCCCAGTGTTCCACCACTGACCCCCCAGTGTTCCACCACTGACCCCCCCAGTGTTCCACCACTGACCCCCCCAGTGTTCCACCACTGACCCCCCCAGTGTTCCACCACTGACCCCCCCAGTGTTCCACCACTGACCCCCCCAGTGTTCCACCACTGACCCCCCAGTGTTCCACCACTGACCCCCCCAGTGTTCCACCACTGACCCCCAGTGTTCCACCACTGACCCCCCCAGTGTTCCACCACTGACCCCCCCAATGTTCCACCACTGACCCCCCCAGTGTTCCACCACTGACCCCCCCAGTGTTCCACCACTGACCCCCCCAGTGTTCCACCACTGACCCCCAGTGTTCCACCACTGACCCCCCCAGTGTTCCACCACTGACCCCCCAGCTAACAGGTAACTTCACAACCTACAAAATACCGCACAATGAATGTAGAACAAATGGGAGAAATGACCGTGGGCGGAGTTGGTAATGTCTCCCTGTGGGCGGGCGGGGACAAATGATCCCACGGTTGAGCGCCCACGGCCGCCACGCCTCGTCTCCCGCGCCCATCATCAGGCCTGGTGGGGCTGTACCCTGCCCGGGGTGCCCTGTACCCTGCCCGGGGTGCCCTGTACCCTGCCCGGGGTGCCCTGTACCCTGCCCAGGGTGTACTGTACCCTGCCCGGGGTGTCCTGTACCCTGCCCGGGGTGTCCTGTACCCTGCCCGGGGTGCCCTGTACACTGCCCAGGGTGTCCTGTACCCTGCCCGGGGTGTCCTGTACCCTGCCTGGGGTGCCCTGTACCCTGCCTAGGGTGCCCTGTACCTTGCCTGGGGTGTCCTGTACCCTGCCTGGGGTGCTCTGTACCCTGCCCTGTACCCTAGGGTGCCCTGTACCCTGCCTGGGGTGTCCTGTACCGTGCCTGGGGTGCTCTGTACCCTGCCTGGGGTACCCTCCCTGGGGTGTCCTGTACCCTGCCTGGGGTGCCCTGTACCCTGCCCGGGGTGCCCTGTACCCTGCCTGGGGTGCCCTGTGCCCTGCCTAGGGTGCCCTGTACCCTTCCTAGGGTGTCCTGTACCCTGCCTGGGGTGCTCTGTACCCTGCCTGGGGTACCCTCCCTGGAGTGTCCTGTACCCTGCCTGGGGTGCCCTGTACCCTGCCTGGGGTGTCCTGTACCCTGCCTGGGGTGTCCTGTATCCTGCCTGGGGTGTCCTGTACCCTGCCTGGGGGGCCCTGTACCCTGCCTGGGGTGTCCTGTACCCTGCATGGGGTGCCCTGTACCCTGCATGGGGTGCCCTGTACCCTGCCTGGGGTGCCCTGTACCCTGCATGGGGTGCCCTGTACCCTGCCTGGGGTGTCCTGTACTCTGTCCTGTACCCTGCCCGGGGTGCCTTGTACCCTGCCTGGGGTGCCCTGTACCCTGCCTGGGGTGCCCTGTACCTTGCCTGGGGTGCCCTGTACCCTGCCTGGGGTGCCCTGTACCCTGCCTGGGGTGTCCTGTACTCTACCCTGTACCCTGCCCGGGGTGCCTTGTACCCTGCCTGGAGCGCCCTGTACCCTACCTGGGGTGCCCTGTACCCTGCCTGGGGTGTCCTGTACCCTGCCTGGGGTGCCCTGTACCCTGCCTGGGGTGTCCTGTACCCTGCCTGGGGTGGCCTGTACTCTGCCCTGTACCCTGCCTGGGGTGTCCTGTACCCTGCCTGGGGTGTCCTGTACCCTGCCTGGGGTGTCCTGTACCCTGCCTGGGGTGTCCTGTACCCTGTCTGGGGTGCCCTGTACCCTGCCTGGGGTGTCCTGTACCCTGCCTGGGGTGTCCTGTACTCTGCCCTGTACCCTGCCTGGGGTGTCCTGTACCCTGCCTGGGGTGTCCTGTACCCTGCCTGGGGTGCCCTGTACCCTGCCTGGGGGTGTCCTGTACCCTGCCTGGGGTGTCCTGTACCCTGCCTGGGCTGCCCTGTACCCTGCCTGGGGTGTCCTGTACCCTGCCTGGGCTGCCCTGTACCCTGCCTGGGGTGTCCTGTACCCTGCCTGGGGTGTCCTGTACCCTGCCTGGGGCGCCCTGTACCCTGCCTGGGGTGTCCTGTACCCTGCCTGGGGTGTCCTGTACCCTGCCTGGGGTGTCCTGTACCCTGCCTGGGGTGTCCTGTACCCTGCCTGGGGTGTCCTGTACCCTGCCTGGGGTGTCCTGTACCCTGCCTGGGGTGTCCTGTACCCTGCCTGGGGTGTCCTGTACCCTGCCTGGGGTGTCCTGTACCCTGCCTGGGGTGTCCTGTACCCTGCCCGGGGTGCCCTGTACCCTGCCTGGGGTGTCCTGTACCCTGCCTGGGGTGTCCTGTACCCTGCCTGGGGTGTCCTGTACCCTGCCTGGGGTGCCCTGTACCCTGCCTGGGGTGTCCTGTACCCTGCCTGGGGTGCCCTGTACCCTGCCTGGGGTGTCCTGTACCCTGCCTGGGGTGCCCTGTACCCTGCCTGGGGTGCCCTGTACCCTGCCTGGGGTGCCCTGTACCCTGCCTGGGGTGCCCTGTACCCTGCCTGGGGTGCCCTGTACCCTGCCTGGGGTGCCCTGTACCCTGCCCTGTACCCTGCCTGGGGTGCCCTGTACCCTGCCCTGTACCCTGCCTGGGGTGCCCTGTACCCTGCCTGGGGTGCCCTACCCTGCCTGGGGTACCCTGCCTGGGGTGCCCTGTTCCCTGCCTGGGGTGCCCTGTACCCTGCCCTGTACCCTGCCTGGGGTGCCCTGTACCCTGCCCTGTACCCTGCCTGGGGTGCCCTGTACCCTGCCCTGTACCCTGCCTGGGGTGCCCTGTACCCTGCCCTGTACCCTGCCTGGGGTGTCCTGTACCCTGCCTGAGGTGTCCTGTACCCTGCCTGGGGCGCCCTGTACCCTGCCTGGGGCGCCCTGTACCCTGCCTGGGGTGTCCTGTACCCTGCCTGGGGTGTCCTGTACCCTGCCTGGGGTGTCCTGTACCCTGCCTGGGGTGTCCTGTACCCTGCCTGGGGTGTCCTGTACCCTGCCTGGGGTGTCCTGTACCCTGCCTGGGGTGTCCTGTACCCTGCCTGGGGTGTCCTGTACCCTGCCTGGGGTGTCCTGTACCCTGCCTGGGGTGTACCCTGTACCCTGCCTGGGGTGTCCTGTACCCTGCCTGGGTGTCCTGTACCCTGCCTGGGGTGTCCTGTACCCTGCCTGGGGTGTCCTGTACCCTGCCTGGGGTGTCCTGTACCCTGCCTGGGGTGTCCTGTACCCTGCCTGGGGTGTCCTGTACCCTGCCTGGGGTGTCCTGTACCCTGCCTGGGGTGTCCTGTACCCTGCCTGGGGTGTCCTGTACCCTGCCTGGGGTGTCCTGTACCCTGCCTGGGGTGCCCTGTACCCTGCCTGGGGTGTCCTGTACCCTGCCTGGGGTGCCCTGTACCCTGCCTGGGGTGCCCTGTACCCTGCCTGGGGCCCTGTACCCCCTGTACCCTGCCTGGGGTGCCCTGTACCCTGCCTGGGGTGCCCTGTACCCTGCCTGGGGTGTCCTGTACCCTGCCTGGGGTGCCCTGTACCCTGCCTGGGGTGTCCTGTACCCTGCCCCTGTACCCTGCCTGGGGTGCCCTGTACCCTGCCTGGGGTGCCCTGTACCCTGCCTGGGGTGCCCTGTACCCTGCCTGGGGTGCCCTGTACCCTGCCTGGGGTGCCCTGTACCCTGCCTGGGGTGCCCTGTACCCTGCCTGGGGTGCCCTGTACCCTGCCTGGGGTGCCCTGTACCCTGCCTGGGGTGCCCTGTACCCTGCCTGGGGTGCCCTGTACCCTGCCTGGGGTGCCCTGTACCCTGCCTGGGGTGCCCTGTACCCTGCCTGGGGTGCCCTGTACCCTGCCTGGGGTGCCCTGTACCCTGCCTGGGGTGCCCTGTACCCTGCCTGGGGTGCCCTGTACCCTGCCTGGGGTGCCCTGTACCCTGCCTGGGGTGCCCTGTACCCTGCCTGGGGTGCCCTGTACCCTGCCTGGGGTGCCCTGTACCCTGCCTGGGGTGCCCTGTACCCTG